AACGAGAGTAATAAAAGTAAACAGAATTATTCAAGCAAAGGTTACTCTAAATTTTTATATAACAGAAGACCACTTGTTTTGTAGGCATCAAGTTTTACCTCTCCCTATCTCTCTCTTTGTAAACCCCTTGTAATGTTTTCCTTTCCTTTTCAGGCTTCACACTCACCCAATCTTCTTTACAAGCATTCTATACCTTTTTCTTGTTTTATATAAATAAAGCCATACTTTCAATTTATGTGTTCTGTTAAAATTTACTGGAAGAATGATCATATTATACACACGCACACACACAAACAGATATACAGACACACACAAACCGACAAGTATTGCAGTTTTCAGGCAAGTCTTTTTTTTTTTTTTGGTAAAATTTCAGGCAAGTCTTTTTATTTTATTTTTTTGGTAATATTCAGGCAAGTCTTTGAACGAATAGGCTTAGCCAATTTAGGTGAAGGCGTTAAGCCTTGCTTGTAAACTTGCCAGCCCGAGTCGTAATAAGCTATCGAAATGGGTTCAGTGCCTGACCTCTCACCCCTATGAATTGGTTTGAATAACTAGTCATGAGGGATATATTAGATTAGGAAAAAAAATTTGACTCCAATAGAAATAGATCTTTTCTGAGCTCAACCTGATAACTCATGAATTAAATGGACTTTTTTTAATAGATTAGGGTTTTTCTATTTAACTCATTATTTTTTTAAAATTAAAAAAATTAGGAATAAAAAAAATGAAGTATGTTTTCCGGCCCAAGGTAAAGGATTTTGTTGCTAGTGTCGTATCATAATATATGCTTAATATAACTTATATACTTAATATACTCTTATTTAATTAAATCAAGAAAAATAAAATTTAATGTGTTAATAATATTAATAATAATAATTTTCTATAGAATAAATAATAAATAAAAGATTTACATGTTTAATTTATAAAAGAAGAAATCACAAGTCAACTACCTTACATTATAAAAGGGGGAAAAACATAATCCTCCCAAGGTAGAAAATGAAGATTCAAAGGCATCATAAGGGCTTGTTTCAAAAAATGATTAGCTTTTAGCCTTCAACATTTTCATCTTTGCGGATGAAACTGAGATCAACAAGCCAATCATAACAGAGTAGATTCTCACATGTTTTAATTTAATTAAAAATAAATATATTAAATATATAAAGTCAAATGTATAAGATTTTTAAATACATCTTTTACTGACTGTGAACTTCATTTACAAGGATACCAATTATCATCTATCTTGTCATGAAAAATTAGGTCATGGTCATCATTCTTATGTTTCCTTGCTACTGTGAAATGCTTTTGCAGTTGTACAATTACTGGGGGCATGTTCCCCCTCAATAAACTATTGAAAGAATGACAAGTAAGGACTTCGTGTAATACCTTAATTTTATTAATTAAAAATTTAATCAAATATTATGATAATAAAAAAATTTAAACTAATCAAAATAATACCATGATATAAAAGTCTAAAAGAAACTCTCAAATTTATTTCTAATAAGTAAACATGATAGAAAATAATTAATCTAAATTTTATAAAGCTACCATAGTTATAACAAAAATTCATCTAATCAATAGATACTTAAAAACTAATCTTGATAGAAAAACATTAAATTAGTTAAAAAAAAAAGGCTACAAAGGTTATAAAAATTTAAGGTTAATATTTTTTTTTTCATAAAGTATATATAGACTTGTGAACGTCATACTCAAATATATATTTCTCTGTAAAAGTCTCAGTACAAAAGTCTTATTATAAAATATTCACTCCATATAAATAAATCATCAATAATTAATAAATAAAGTAACAAATTAATTCCAATGAAAGTTCTAAATCGATAATTGATTATTCTACAAATTAAAACAGGACTCAAGGCTTAAGCTAAGCCTTAAGCTTTCAGATGCTTTCTTTTTTTGCTTTGCTAAGCTTACCTAAAAAATGTTAAAGAAGGGATTAGCATTAATGTCTCAATAACCCAAAATTTAACTACACATGCACAAATTACAACCACACAATTATACAAGTATTCATAAAAATTATTCAGTAATGACATAAAAATTTCATGAGATATAGCTTATAACATGCTAATACGTAATATCGATAATCTCCCTTATTTCTTCATTCATCCTTATTCTACTAACTGGAACCATAGATTTAAATATGATCTGGCCCATGTGTTAGACTGACTAAGTTTCTCCAGTGTTCGAGATATACATAGCTAAAGGTATAGAGCCTAAGCCTAAACTATAGCTCCCCTTCTTGAAAAACCCCAACGGGAGGTGTTACTGTCCCCCATTCTTCCTTTACAAACCTAAGCAGGTAAATATTAAGGAACAGAGATTTGAAAGAGGCTAACCACTATGCACGCAGTAGAGGCAAATCATGTGGTCATTGAATCATACATACATCCATATCATCTCCTTATCAACCCATCCCCAATGCATATATACCACACATATACAGCATTTACATCACATACAATATATCTTATTTGATCAACTTAAATTACAAGCATGCTTAAAAGAAATAAACTACACTTAAATAATATATAATTTCTAACAATTTAAAAAAAATATTAATTTGTATTCACAAGTATGTTTGAAAAGAAAAAAAAACATTAACAATTATATATAGCTAATATACAAGCACACTTAACATGATTCAAACAACATAAGAATTTTCAATAAATAAATTTATAGTTATATGCATTCGTTCACACAAAGTTTATATACATATAAAAAAGCCTCAAGTTATCTATTTTTTTTAAGTTTATAAGTAATCACATAATAATTGAAAGTATGATCATAAAAAGTCTCAAATAATCTTTAAATTATTTAATTGTAGGACTTTGCCCTCCCTCGTGCTCGTGCTCACGTCCTCCATCCCTCATACTCTCACTACCGTCGCTGGGAGAGAAATAATTTTTGAATGTGTGTTTTTTTTTTTTTTGTGAGTCTAGGGTAGGAGATATATATATATATATATAATAATAATAATAATAAGTGCGGGCTGTTTTTCTCATCATCTAGTTTGTTCCATTGATATATTGTTAATCACCCACCTACTCTCTCTCTCCCTCTCTCTCTCTCTCACACCATTTTTATTCTTATTATTTGTTCTTTAAAATTAAACCCTCGTAATTTATTTTATTTTAGTTAAATTTTATTTTCTCAAATAACTATATTATAAATTTTAACTACTGTGAAATAATATCATTCATAGATCTCATAATCATAGATCTCATAATCAATTAATTTTATTTCTTAAATTATCTTATTATTTTTTTAAACTTTAAATCTTCAATAAATGTTTAATAATTTCCTATGCCTTAAAATTTCTTCATATATCTCAAATTGTCTATAATTAATTTAGAGATAAAAATTTAGGATATTACACCTCTCACAAAGGTTAATGCTAAATTAGGAGAATAACAATTAGGTTTTAAAGGAATTAATTATCGATAGTTAAGTCCCCGACAATTTTTTTTGAAAAAATAAGTTGAACATATTGGTCCAAATTATTATAAATTTAGAAATTTCAATTGCAAATATATATTTCTTAGATTATAATAAAAAATTTTGTTTGTAATTGTTTAAATTAATATTTTTAATTTATTTTGTAAAATTTTGTCGATGATCTAGTTATCATTAATTGATTCCTTTAAAACTTAATTTTCATTCTCCCTACTAAATTAAGACTTTTTAAAAATCTTTAATGTTGAAATATGAGAAGGACTATTGAATTTGAGAACTTAAATTATAATTATATTTTAATTTAATATTAATTTTTTATGAGATCCTTCGTTGTTATGCACCCTAGAATCACAATCATCAGTATCATTATATATATAAATAACAGGCTACATATTCATGTTACGTGTTCCTTTTTGTGAATTCTTCAATTATGTACTTTGAATTTAAGTTTAGAGTTAGGTTTGAGATAATTTATTATTTTCATATGTATGTAAAATAAAATATTTAGGTTTAACGTTAGGTTAAGGATGATTAGAGAAGGAAGAACAAGGAAGGAAGGAAAATAAAGTATAGATGAAATAAGGGAAAGGTAGGAGGAGAGGAACATATATATAAACTCAGATACTTTTTATTCAAAAAACATCAAAGACCTCTCCTTCGTCCCAAATTATGAAAAAAATTTGAATAAAATTCAACACCTCAAAATATAAAATACTTTAAAAAGATTAAAATTTTATTAAATAAATTTATTTTAATATTACTCTTTTTCTCTATTTAATAATTAAATATAGATTTAAGATCATTACATGAATGACATTTTAGGAAATTTTATTTTAAAAAAAATAAAATTATTAAGCGTATTTAATAAGATTTATGTATGTATTGATATGTAAGATTTTATCCAAAAATATCTTATAATTTGAGACGAAATGAAAGTAACTCTAACCCTAAACCTAACCTAAACTTCAAGCAAATGAATTTTAAAAATAGGAACTCTAATATATAAGAAATAATCTTATAACTATAAAGCTAACCCAAAATATTTATTTAAAAGATAATCTAAATCTAAATTTTAATTAAAATCATAATAAAGATAATCATAAATTAAAGATAAATCTTTCATGATAGATTCTAATTTGAGGTGCAAAATCTAGACAATCTGAACCATCCAGATTTAATATTTTTTATTTTACATTTTTTAAATTACAAAATTATATAAATTGCAAAAAAAAAATTAATAAGTTCGTTAACCAATCTGGACAATTTAAATTTAATATGAGTGATGTACATTTAATATCAATTTTTTTATAAATTGACTTTTCAAACATATTCCTCACAGTACAAGTTAAATATTAAATTTTCTTATAACTTTTATAAATTAAATGTAAACCATTTATATTAAATCTCAACTATCTAAACTCATAATCAGATTTATTAAAATTTTCTATAATTAATATAATTTTTTATTTTAAAAAATAGAGTAAAAATAAATAAACATGGACTGCACAGATTAAATTTGAATAGTTCAATTTTCGCATCTCAATTGTAGAAGTGCGGGCGAGGGCTTCCGCCGGAGGGAAGCTGACTCCCATTATATTCTATCATCTTTCCTATTCCCACTGTAATTTTTATTCCTCATAAAAAATTTATGCAGTCATTCAAAACATCTGTCTAAGTTAAAAAAAAAAAAAGTCCAAGTATCAAAAACCAGATCACATACTCCGCCGCCCAAAACAAATGACAATTCTATCATATCTTAAAACCTTCACACCTAATTAATAATAGCAAATTGACCAACCTTGAGTCATGATGCTCCATATTTTAAGCAATGTGCCCTGCTAAAGTAAGTATTTTGACATGTTTCTTCATCCTCAGCTCATGTGGGACTGGTCCAAAAACTCTCGTCCCAATTGGCTGCCCTTGCTTGTCAACAAGAACCACAGCATTATCATCAAACTTGACCTCACTGCCATCACATCGCCCCCGTTGCATCGCCGCACGCACAACCACGCCATACACAACTTTTCCTTTTTTAACTTTTCCATTAGGATGGGCTTCCTTGACTGATGCAATTATGGTGTCACCCAATCTTGCCCCTTTCCTCCCTTTCAGAGGTTGTATGCACATAACCTTCTTAGCCCCTGAATTATCCACAACCTTGAGAACAGTCCTCATCTGAATGAAGGTGCGCTGCTGCTGCTAAAATGCATTGCACTTTTTTTCCAGTTAAAAAGACAGTCATAACATAGGATGGCAGAGAGATTTGAATAGTATAATACTATCTCCATCCCAAATTATAATACAATTTTAAAAGTAATTTGATATTCCAAAATATAAAACAATTCAACAAAAATAAGGTTTGATTAAATGTACTTTTCCAACATTACCCTTCCCTCCTTATAATTCTCTTTGTTCAATCATTTAAGATTATATTAAATTAAAGGTATTTTTGAAAGTTTATACTTTTGTCTTGACAAAATAAGATTGTAAAGTATAGTTACTAAGCTTTATTGGAATGCATAATTTTGTCTAAATTTGCCTTATAAGTTGGGATGGAAGAAGTAATATAGATATCCTACTCTAAAACAGACGTGCTTTGGTTCTCATTCCAGGCATGACAATATTAATATGTAAGAACAAATTGCTGTCAAAAGAAAAGAAAAATATAAACATTATGGGGATGGAGAAGATATCAAAACTTTTGCACTTGTTCGAACAATCTTAAATTGACATCTCAAATTAAAATAGAAGTGTTATGCACTAACCTGAGACAAGAATTTGCTACAAATGATCTCTTGTGAAGTGGTGATTAAACCAGATAAACTGTTGCCCAGCCCACCAAGCAGAGAATGGCCCACTGGTTTGATTTCCAACATGAGAAACAGAGTGCAATACATTAACTACTCAAAAAATTTACCATCAAGAGTTCATGTCAATTACTGTTGGCATTAGTGGGAAAAATAAAGGATTTAATGCAAGAATTAAACAGGTTGAACATCATTAAGGAATTACACAATCCTGTCTCTGAGGAATGGAATAAACATTGACTAAAGAACTCAATGAAGTTAACAAAATAAGAATATTAACATGTTTGTTTCGAGACAAAAACACCAATTAATCTATTGAGTAGTGACTACTGAGAGGCCCATTAGTCCATCATCACCACACAAGTCAGAAGTAGCCAACATTTGAAACAAGGTTAGTATCACTTCTAACTTTCAATTGGTTTACTCCAGGCGAAATGTCTTTATTCAGAGATAGGTTTTTTCAATGACCAACTGAAACGATTCCTAATCGGCTTCGGCATTACCGCTAACCAAAAGTTCAAAAAATTCAAGCACCTGAATTGATTGTTGCTTCGATCAGATAAATCATAATTCCACCTTCCAGAAAAAATTACCCCACACTTATACATTGAAAATGAAAAAAATCAAGGATTCACTTTCAGAAAACATTAAGCATGATTATTTTTCTAATCATTCTAGAGTGAACATAGCAAAATCGTAGGTACGTAATTGAATAATTGAATTTCAAAACTATCCCCTCCTCCCCAAATACCTCCCTCTTGTCTCAGGGGCCTCTCCGCATTCCAGCAAACATGAATAAGATTATCGAAATATTTTGCACAAAACAGCTATGAATTTTATTCAGAGTGTGATTACATATATATGAAAGATAAGAGAGATAAAATCTAATCATATCACCCACATCTCTCGTATAATCTCGGTACATAAAAGAGAATAAAATTTGATCTAAATAATCAGGTCAGATCGAAAACTAGGGTTTGACTGAGTTGGGCATCATAACTGACGACATGCCCACTTCAAACAATTATTCAGACAAACAATTATGTCCACGTCCCACGCAAATTCTAAACACTTGAGTAGAAATGTATATTGTAGAACCACATCGGAGGTAAACATCTCAGAACTAAGCTAAGTTTCATGAGACTCCAACAAGGATTTTGATGCATTCACAGCATTTATGTCTAACAATATAGTCAAAACCGAAGTTTGAACATGTCATCACAAGGGTGGGCCAGCAAGCAGATACAGCAAACCAACAGGACATGTAAATTTAAACCTAGATCTGCAAAATAACAAATTTGAGAACAAAACCACATACCTCGAGAGGACTTAGATGCAAAACTTGCAGCCATCTTGGCAGCTTAAATCCCTGTATCCTCCAAAAGTATGAGATCCAATTAAAGAGGAGATTTGAATTGGAATGAATAGAAATGAACATACATCTACTTGAGTATGCAACACCACTTATAATGATTGAAGGCCTGATAGGCTCAGCCATAGGCAGACCTATATTACACTTAGTGGGGGCATTGGGCCCCACTGAAATCTTTGAAATATGCATAGTTGATATCATAACCTTTTAATTTTTGTTCCAAATACTTTTAACAAAGATGCCTCAGTAAGCCAATTGATTCAAGCAACTCCTTCAAGCTAATAGTTACCGTCCATTAGATAGACTAACTCTAGACATGCAATGATGAAGCAGGGGATATAAATGAAGTTTATTATAATTCAAGAGTGGATTCAACATACAGCCAGTTTAAAAATGCATGGTTCACTATTGTTATTCATATGATCACACATAAAAAAGCAGCTACCAGTTAGTGTTATTCTCAACCGTTAAAAAGAAGTACTTGCTGAAGACATGCATTACTAATCACTCCAATAAAACTTGTTATCATCATCAACAGAGTTGCATATCCATTGATTCACAATATAACTACTGACAGAAAGAAAAGATTCTTGAAAATATAGCATTACAGTGCTGGACAGGGCTATACAAATCAAATAAAAAATAAAAAATAGACCTTAGTCTGTTCTCTAAAACACAGTTCCTTCAACTTGTTTTCCAGATTCCACTCTGTTGTTTTCTATTTACTATACCCTTAATTAGTCACATTTGCTGCTGCGTCATTTCTTTAGTCAAATTCCTTCACTTTGCTTTCACTTGTACAGGATTATCTCACCATCGTGCAATTGCAGCATTTCTTTAACATGGTATATTAATTTGTCCTTTCGTTTCTTTCATTTTAGAAAAGAAAAATATATGTTGCCCAAAGTTAACTACTTTTCCCATCATTAAAGCTCTTTACCCAAACACTCTCTTCCACACCTTCCACAAAAGCTCCAATTTTTCTCACATCAATCACAAAATTCTTAATTAAAATTTTCCCTCTCCCATCATTCATATGCATTCACATAAAATTCCTTCTAGCAAAAAAGCTAGGTCAAGCTAGGCTTTGGCCAAACAGGAGGCCTGTCTTAGCCTGAGCCTATAATAGGGATCTCAAGCTTAAGCCCAGCCTTGGCCCGCATACAGGCTTTTTTTTTTTTTAGGCTCAAGCTTGAGCCTGCAAAAATGCCTGACCTGATTTGAAGCCTTTTTAAAGGAGTAATTTATATGCAGGCCATTAAAAAGGCTTCCAAAATTAGGTTTCAAAGGCTTAAGTAGGCATTTAAAACCTGCATGTAATTAAAATGAAATTAAATCTTTAAAAATGCAAATAAAAATTATTTTAAAGAGTTGCATCTAAAATACATCTTTGCGTCCAAACAATTGTTACACTAATAATAGTCTATAGAATAATACAACAAAACAATATAACTAATGAAAGCAGCAAAACAAAAACAATACAACCAAAAAAATAACAAGAAACAACATGCCATTGCCTGCACCAAATGACAACACCACCAATAAGACGTCAAAATAATCTCCTCCTATTCAGATGAAGCAGATTCAATTGTGTTGTTGTTGCCCATTAGAAGTTAGTACCGTAAAACAAAGAAAAAAGAGCCACATAGCTCCAGTCGTTCAACCCATATCAATCAAAGAACATAATCTATTTTAAATTACAATTATTCAGAAAAGGGCCATAGCTGGTTATGATTATAAAGCGGGATTTAAATGACAATTAGTCATATGTCATTGTGAAGCTAAATTATTTGAACAAGTAATTACACAAGGATGGCAGAGATTCAATTGAATAAGTTAAATCAAACTAAAATCACATGAACCCATGGCTACTGCACCGGACAATGTAGAGCCAAGCATTAAAATTTTTTGTCCAATAAAATTTGAAGTCAAACTCAAATCAAACAAGCAGACATTCATAGCTTTAATAGAAGAAAAGAAGTAAAAATTTGAACAACTTTCATCTCATGTTCCTTGAATTGGTGACTTTTACTTCATGTCATGTTAATACCTAGCTCTCGGTGGTACTGAATTTATAATGATATATATTGTTTGGTGTTTGGAATGTCTCTGCGTAGGACTTGAATAGAGAGCTGTAGAAGTTTCTTTTTATCATATTATAGATAATGATAACAGCATTGACATAATTGATGGAATGCCCTATCTCGTTCTTATAAGACCCATAGAGTTGGTGTTGGAGTATTACCCTTGTTAAATTCCTTATTGACTTGAGAGAATTTTAACTTCACAAGTCCACCAAATTGTCAAATGAGGATCAATTTCGTTCTAGAGTTTGTCCTTCCACTTAAAGCAAGCAACAAGTATATATCAAAATTTTGATTTTAAGCGTCTCAACTGCTTAATGATTGGCCAACTGATCTCAAAAGACTAAATCACAAACTGAGAGTAATAAGCAGTAATCAGCAGAGGAAGGTTTGCTAATGCAGGATTCATTTGTCGAAATTTCACTAGACACTTGTTAATGAAGTTTATAAGCTTGAGTTGCAGGAGGCATGATTACTAGACACAGTAAACTTCTCCTAGACTTAATATGCCCTTCTATACAATGAGCAGAGTGTAAGGAAGAGTAACCTGATACCTGAAGAGCAACGCCAGGCAGAGCAACAATGAGCTTAGACGAACCAGAAACGATGAGCACGGCGGCGCTCGCGGCGGAAGGACTGTGTGACACTGGGTGCTGAAAGTCTGAAGGAGCTCACGAATGAGGACAACGGCGAGCAAGGATGAGGACGGCGGCGGCCAAGGCGAGTCTTTAGATTTTACAGATATGAAGGGGCGCGACAGCGATCGAAGACCGCGAGCGACCGCGAGCAAGGCGAAGGAGCCGAAGTTGAAAGGAGAAAATGCTGAAGATTGAGTAGAGATCGCGCGGCGCAGAGGAAATAAAGTAATGAACCTAGGACATTAGGGTAATTACAAGAAATAAAGTAGCTAGATTTTGCCCGTGCATGTGAAAAGTTTTAATTTAATTTTATCTTTTAATAAAATAATTATTTATTTTAAATTAATTTTATGTTTTTTATATTTATTTATTACTAATAGAGACCATTTTTAAAAAATAATGATTATATTTTAAAAAATTAAAATATTTTATGTTTTTTGAATATTCAATTTCTTTAAAAATATATTATATTTTGTAATAGAAGGAGTATAATTTTAAAAATATTAATCTTTTACACATTAATATGGTAACTCTTTGATTTTGTTAAGTAAAATCTTTGATAAATACTATTTTTTTATTTATTTAGTGTGAGTTACTTATTATATATTATTTTATTATTTTATAATGATTATAACATTTGAAGTATGCAAGAATAAGTATATGATTACTTTGTGGATTATAATGTAAAACAGAATTTGCAAAAGAAATGGGTCTTTCTTTTGATAAATGAAAAGGCCATAGTTAAAAATTTCCAATGGCAAAAAAATAAAATGGAACAATCTTGTTGATATGAGTCTTTTTTAATAAATCACAATAGGCAATTTGATTTATTGAAAAAGCTTTGAATGTTTAAAAAAATTGAATTTATATATTGTCGATATGAGTTCTTTTGTGTAACACTGTTTGTTTAATAATTGCGTCAGGTTGCAAACTATTATTATATAAAATTTTATGAAATGGAAACACACAAAAAATAGAGAGGGATACAACAATTATTTAATAATAACAAAATTGATATGTCAAAGATAATTATTACTTCATGATCTATAAGTAACATTTCATGATCTATGATAATAAATTTATTATTATAGAAATTGACAAGTAAAAAAACTATATTTAATTATTATGTAAGGGAAAGTGAAACTGATATGTGGAAATTATATATGGAACACGTTAGGTGAATTAACTAACAGCCATAAATAAGGAAAGTCAATGTAAGCAAATTAGATTACTGGATGCAATAATTAAAACAATAATTATTTTTTATTTAAACATAAATTAAAATTTATATAATAATTTTTTTTTCATCTTATAATTTTCCACCTCTATTTACACGGTAAACATAAATAACATATCCTGTGTATATATAAAAAAAGGAATAATTTAATAATTCAAGACTTGTTATCTACAAATAAAATTAAAATTTAAACAGTAAATATTATATTTGTAAATAGTTATTTAGATTAGAATTGATTAAGTAATAATAATAAAATAAAGTAATTACAGGATATAAAGTAATAAACTAATTATAATAAAATAAATTAATAAATATACTTAAAGTAATAAAATCTTACCTGGAAGGCTGAACTTTGAAAAATCAGGCCAGGCTTGGGACATGGTCAGGCGTAGGTCACCTGAGAAAGGGCTAGCCTATTCTCATCCATACGTAAAATAATAATAATAATAATAATAATAATAATAATAATAATAATAATCACATTTAATAAAATCTGAGCTAGACATCCGAATGATCATGGTAATATTTTGTCATAGAAGTGGAAATCTATTATTGTGGTACTTGTAATTTTGTTTTGGTTTTGAGTAAAACAAGCCTTGAAATGAGGCTTGGATTGGAGAACATTTGAAATATGATCGAGATTTTTATTTCTTTTTAATTTTTACTTTGATATAGTGCTTTTTACTAGAGATAGATGTATATATTGCACTAAATTTTTACATAGCTCAATATTTCTTTGGTGAATTTCTTAGGTGATAGAGTAGATTAAGAAATAGATATAAGTTAGGGTTGTTTATGCTGCCTAAAAGCCCAACCGTTCTCAAGCTACTCAAGTACATCAAGTCAAGCTTTGGGTTGGGCATCAAGCAAAGGTCATGTAATAATCCTTGAAAAGAAATAAAATAATAAAAATAAAAATAATAAATATATATATAAATAAAATAATAGTAGTAGTAATAAAAAAAATCTGGTGGGTAGTATTTTGTAATTTAATCAAATAAGTTTGGGTCTTTTCTTGTAATTTTTTCCCATTATCTTTTATTTAAGTCTTCTTCTTTAGGAACAGAAAATAGTGAATAAAAACAGAGCAGAGCAGACGAGTGTGAGAGAGAAAGAGAATTCTCTAAGCTTCCACCAACCTTCACTCTCCGTTCCTCTTCCTCCATCGTTCATCTCCATCGAGTTCTTTGTTTCTTCAGCTCTTCCTTTCTTTTTCTTCTTCACTGTGTTGGTCTGGTGCAGTAAAATATATATATATATATATATATATACTTTGCTGTTGAAAGCTTGATGGAATCGTGATCTCCTCCTCCCTTCTTTCCATACGTGAAGGTTGAATAGTGAATTTGTCCTTATTGGAGGTTTGCTTGATGATTTCTTTCTCTTATTCTCTAGACTCTAGATGTCTTCTTCTATTCTCTATTCCACCATGCTAAGTTAGCTAATTAAACTTTTCATTCTCATCTTTGTACTGTTGGTATGTATACTGAATATTGATATTTTTCTTGCTTTAGATGTTAAGTTTTAAACTCTTTTCTTGCCCTTTTGATTTAGAGCTGTACAATTAAGGGGAGAGTTATTTCTTTAGTTAATATTAAAAATTGAGGGCTTGAATTTTGTTACTGAACAAGAAAATTTTGATATGGGTGTGCATTATAGTATTTATGTTAATACATGGCAAAGGATGACTAAGAAGTATAATTAGGATTATATAATAATAACAATGCAATTAGTTTGGCTAAAAAAAATAGAGAGAAAAAGAAATCGGGATGCATAAAAGAGGATATATAAAAAATTGATTCAAATTATAGAAAGAGATATTAAAGTTTTATTATATCTAATAGGGGTTACAGAAGAGGAGAAGCTTAATTGAAGTTGAGAAAAGAGAATTTTAGGAACTTGGCAGCATACCAGGTAAGTAAATAACGTTCACTAATACATAGAAGCAATAATCTTTCTTTTACCTTATTTATTTACCATAATTGTTTTGAATAGATTTTTTTTATTGTATTTAAAGATTTAGTTCATTCATATGTAATTAGTTTGATTATGACTCAACTTTAATCATGTAAATATTTTCATAGTATTTTATTTTTAAAATGTAGATACATATATTTATATGTATATATATATCATACATGTATGGATCAGATAAATTATATCTTCCAAATTAAAGAACAATTTGAATTACAAGAGTTTATTCCATGCATGCTAGAAATGTTTTACGGAACTGAATACAGAACACTAATTGCTAACGACAATATCATTAGCCCTTAGCGCGCCATGGCATACCTAGTTAGCAAGGTACATTGGAGGTGCTAGTCCCGTGTGTTGACTAACACACGTGGAATTGAGGATGTAATTTCATGGACATAATCCACGCCTATTTTTTTTCGTGGCTTCTAGCCATGTCGGATATTACTTACCCTCATAGACTGTGTGTCCACACCTGTTATTCGTTCTGTCGAGGTCCTAACATAAAATATATGTTTCAAAGTCATATTCTTGCTCTTAAGAATTGTATTTTGTGATTTGTTTTATATAGAAAGCTATATTCTAGATGGTTGTTCACGATTCTCTATTTTTCCTTTTCTATGTTATTCACTCAATTATCAAGATTAAATTGTGTTATTATTTTGCTAATACCTTTTGTAATTAGATTAGTCTCTTGTTTCCTATTATATATATTTATAATTATTATTTTTGTTTAATATTATTATTATTTGGGAACGTTATTTATTGGAAGAATTCTTGGGTATTCAAATAGTAGATGTGGACCTACTCTTCATTTGGTCTTTTAGGACTCCTTGAAACAAGAAGCATTTTGTTGCTCCATCCAGATTGTGAATCAATGTAAATATTTAAGTATCTTGGTTTTATTCTAGATTCACTCCACGAATCTTATAGGCAGGATCCTTGATTAAATTATTTTGGGATTGTACATATATACTGTATTGGAGTAGAACTTCGAATGCTGTATGGGTATTCTTTTGGCAGGTTGTAAAAATTTCGGGTAGTCCAACTTACAGGGGAAACTCTATCGAAATTTCTATAACAAGTTAAATATTTTGTTAATATTAGTATTTATTTAATATAAATGACGATTATACAATGAGTTTGGGTAATTAATATGTCAGATAATATATGAGTTTAGGCTTATGGAATATGAATTTTCTTGTATTCCAGCTGGTCACACTTTAGAAATTCAGGGTGTGACAAGTCAAACCCTACCTTGCCCCACCCGACCATGTCTTTTTTTAATATTTTTTTAATAATATTTATTTTATGGCATTATTTTTTGGTTCAATGTTACTATAAATTATATTATTTTTATGATTTTTTTGACATTTTTTATCATTGCAATTTTTTTAATCTCTTTCAAAATTTAAAATTTATTTTTAACTTAACACAATGTAAAAATAATTGACAATTATTGATCATATGCAATTTTAAAAAAAATTACTTTGGATTCTAATGTTAGTTTTACAAAGAATATATTTTAAATTATAATAATTATATTTTTGAAATAAATTTTTAATATATATTTTAAAAAAATTGTAACAAAATTTTTAGATCAATTGAGCCAAACTTGAATCAAACACTTGAGTATTAGGCTAGCTCAATAGGTTATGGCTTGATTGATGATTATATTGCACGTTAGCTTGTGTCACGTTTTCATTTGAAGATGAGCTGAAAACACTCGTCTAATTGCCAGACATATTGTAGCTGGTGATAGATATATTGCAGTAAATTCATTTGAGTTTGGATTTTCGTTCTTTTTGCTTGCTTTCATTTTGTTTGCTACATGATTTGAGGCATCAATTTTTGCATTGTTACCTATTCAACCATCTATTTCTTTTGCAATTTAGTATAAAGGTTTCAACAGCATAAAGGAACTCAAAAACCTTTGACGGTCTGCTAAATTTGTTATAAATTGGGAATGGTTAAATACACAATTTGGCTTCAAATTGA